CTCTGACCAAACAATCAGAAACAGACTTCATGAGGGTGGCCTGAGAGCCCAACATCCTCTAGTAGACCCTGTGCTCACTGCCTGGCACCATAGAGCTCAATTGCCATTTTGCATTGAACACCAGAATTGGCAGGTCCACCACTGGCACCCTGTGCATTTCACAGATGAGAGCAGGTTCACCCTGAGCACATGTGACAGGCGTGAAAGGGTCTGGAGAAGCCGTGGAGAACGTTATGCTGCCTGTAGCATCAGTCAGCATGACAGTTTTGGTGGTGGGTCAGGTCAGTGATGGTCTGGGGAGGCATATCCATGGAGGGACACACAGACCTCTACAAGCTAGACAATGGCACCCTGACTGCCATTAGGTATCGGGATGAAATCCTCTGACCCATTGTCAGACCCTACGCTGGTGCAGTGGGTCCTGGGTTCCTCCTGGTGCACAACAATGCCCAGCCTCATGTGGGAAGAGTATGCAGGCAGTTCCTGGAGGATGAAGGAATTAATACCATTGAATGGCCCCCACACTCGCTTGACCTAAATCTAATAGAACACCTCTGGGGATATCATATTTCGGTCCATCAGACGCTGCCAGGTTGCACCTCAGACTGTCCAGGAGCTCAGTGATGCCCTGGTCCAGATCCGGGAGGAAATACCCCAGGACACCATCCGTCGTCTCATTACGAGCATCCCCCAACGTTGTCAGGCATGCATACAAGCACGTGGGGGCCATACAAACCACTGAGTACCATTCTGAGTTGCTGCACATACATTTCAGCAAAATGGACTTGCCTGCTGCATACTTTTTTCACTTTGATTTTTGGGGTGTCTTTGAATTCAGTCCTCTGTAGGTTGATCATTTTCATTTCCATTAAACAATGGGGCATCCTTATGTTCCTAATACATTACCCAGCCCATACCAGTATAGATATCCAGCATGAGATTTTTCCCCATTGAGATCTGATGTGTTTTCAAAGTGTTCCTTTAATTTTTTTTGAGCAGGGTATATGTTCAAGCCACACTGCCTTGTCAAGGCCTTTCTGTACAGTGCAGTCCTAGCTCCAATCTATGAGGACCTCCACGTTGGAGCATAAATAGTAATAGATAAATTTAGGGCAGGTATGCCTGGAGTCAGTCCATTCCTCGGTAAAGGCACAGGAACACACCAGAAGCCCAGCACAGCACATTGGAGCTGAAGGTTTCCTATGTGTCCTTGCACCAATTCCTGCAAGCTAAACAAAAATGACAACCTTCCCAATTTATAACTAGCTTTTAGAGTGAGGTACAAATGGAAGGGCTTTGCAAAGAGCAAACAAGGCAAAATGTATTTCTCATCACACTTATCATCTAGCCAGCAAAGGCTCATAGTCTAGAGCAGGGGTAGGCAACCGTGGCACTCCAGCTGTGGTGAAACTACAAATCCCATCATGCCCCTAGGAGTCATGCCTGTGGCTGTAAAAGCCCTACGATGCCTCATGGGATGTACAATTATACCACAGCTGAAGTGCCGAGGTTGCCTTCCTTGCCCCCCTTCACATCAGTTTCCCCTTTACATCTGTGTCCTCAGTCCCTGCTTTACACATCAGTCCCCCTTTCCCTTTACATCAGTGTCCTCAGTCCCCCTTTCACATCACAGCCCCCTCCCCTTTACATCACAGTCCACTTCACATCAGAGCCCCCCTTTACATCCCAGTCCGACCTTTACATCACAGCCCCCCTTCTTTATATCACAACCCACACCATTTACATCAGTAACCTCATTCCCTTCTTTACATCAGTATTCCCAGTTCCCTCTTCACTTCACAGTCCTACCCCTTTTACATCACAGTCCCGCTTACCTGTTACATCAGTGTCCTCAGTCCCCCCTTCACATCATGGTGTCCCCCCTTTACATCACAGTTCCCCCTTAATATCACAGCCCCCCCCATTGCCATCAGTGTCTTCCCCCCTTCATATCACAGTCTTCCCCCTTTACATCACAGACCCCTCTTACATCACAGCCCCCTCCCCTTTACATCACAGACCCCTCTTACATCACAGCCCCCCCCCCTTTACATCACAGTGCCCTCTCCTTTACATCACAGTCCCCTTTTTACAGCAGTGTCCTCCCTTCACATCATGGTGACAGCAGCAGCAGTAGCAGTCACTCCCTTGAGAGGAATCCCAAGCTGCTGACAGTAGCGCTGTCACTTGGTCTGGGTTCGGACCACAGTCCTTCATTTAGTGATGTCTGGGCTAGAGTTAGGACTGCACTATATAGAGGGGCCTTGACCAGGCAGTGTGGCTTCCACATATACGAGGTGGTATCAAAAAGATTCAAAACTAGTTTTGTAACACGCCAACAGATGGCAGCACATTCTGCACGCAGAGTCACAGGGAGCATCGACCTTCATAAGTCAGTGTGCTGAAAGACATCGTCCTGTGTACATCAGAAGCTGTGCAACTGGTGCTATTCTGACCACATGCGTTACCACGTCTGCTATTTCATCATGGACAGCATGTTAGAACAAAGAGCAAACATGAAATTCTGCATGAAACTGGGCAAATCTGCTCCAGAGAAATTTGACATATTTCTGCAAGTTTATGGTGATGCTTAAATGAGTCTTTTTGAGGTGTTTTGAATGGCACACGTTCTTCAAGATCTGAAGAACATCACTAGAAGATGATGAGAGATTAGGAAAACTTTCAACGAGCTCAACCCCTGAAAACGCCCTTTTCCAGAAGATGAAGATCCACCTCAAAGGTTGCCGTTTTGACAACATTGCGGAGATCAAGCGATTTGCCCAGTTTCACACAGAATTCCACATTTGCTCTTTGTTCTAACTTGCTGTCCATGATGAAATAGCAAACGTGGTAACACACGTGGTCAGAATAGCACCAATTGCACAGCTCCCAATGTACACAGGACGATGTCTTTTAGCACACTGACTTACGAAGGTTGGTGCTCCATGTGCAGGTGTGTGCAGCCTTGTGCTGCCATCTGTTGACGTGTTACAAAACTAGTCTCAAAACGTTTTGATACCACTTTGTATTTGCAAATGTTGTGCAACTAAAACTTCTGTTTTTTACACAAATTGATTTGTTTTTTTCTATCTCATGCCATTTAGCATGAGGTTGTACCTTTCCTTCCCTGATCCTTACAGTAAGAGACACAAAATTTCACCCGGTTATCCCCAGTGCGCATGATGAGAATATCGGAGGACTGATGGTCCCTTTTTTTTTGCATGCTAGTCTCAAATCGAAAACCAATAGATTACTAAAGTTACGAAAGTTCTCATAAGAAGTGATGTAGTCTAGTGTAGTGTATTGTATTGCAATGTATTCTATGGTTTTTGAGAATGCACTGTCTTGGTCACTATACTAATTACACGAAAATCATTTGTTCTGTTATCTTACAAGAAACATTTTTTTGTGCTTCTCCCTTCGAATATTTGTGCATGAACTGCCGTACTAACAAATAGATTATTGGACAATTGCTCTAAATGCACTTTTCTTTCGTCTGATTTTCTCATTGTATGTTCTAGGCATTAGTCTTTGCTGCTGCCTACAGAGACCCTATCTCTGGCCATTTAAACCTCTCCTGCTTCCAGCAGTTATTTTGGCAGTGCTCAAGGTTTTACCCTGTATTAGAGATGAATTGTTGGGATTTCATATTGCAACTTTGACTACTGACTCTGATTGCAAAGGGTCATAAGAATACCGCTTTGGGTTCTCTTCTAGAATCATTGTCTGACCTGCCTGCAGCCTTAGTGGCTTCTGAGCATTTGGCTGCAGAGACTATCTGATAAAGAGTCTCTTAAATCCTTGTGAGAAGAGGTTGTCCCCGAGGAGTTGTAGGCAGCTGTCATAACTCTCAGGCTAAGAGAGGCTCTTATTGATGGAGTGCATGCCAACATTAAAGCAGACCTTGCCCCTTCCACTAAAAATCAGCATGCAGATCTGCCTGGAGGACCTTAAACTCAAAGATGAGGGCTGAACTTGTGAACAAAGGACTAAGTAGCAGCCTTGCAAATCTGCAAACCAGTTCCCTGGCCTTGCAGGAATATTTATTTATTTCAGGTACTTATATAGCGCCGTCAATTTGCGCAGCGCTTTACATATATTTTGTACATTCACATCAGTCCCTAACCCTCAAGGGGCGTACAATCTAAGGTCCCTAACTCACATTCATACATACACATACTAGGGACAATTTGGACAGGAATCAATTCACCTACCAGCATGTCTTTGGAGTGTGGGAGGAAAACGGAGTACCCAGAGGAAACCCACGCAAGCACAGGGAGAACATGCAAAATCCATGCAGGAGGTGCCATGGTCGGGAATCAAACCCATGACCCATTTACTGCAAGGCCAACTTGCTAACCATTAAGCCACTGTGCGCGAATATGAAGGCTTAGAACCCCCTTCATTTCTAAACTGGTTTCAGTCGTTCACCTCAACCTGAACATTGTTCTTTCAACTCTTTTTGCAGCTCCAGTGCATCAGAAGGAAATTTCCCATTCATTGCCTGGATGTAGGCTGCTTCCGTTAGAAAGACTGAGTCTTATTTGTGCCATTCCTGATTGTCCCCTAAAGGGGAACCAGCTTCTTGTTCCACTACTTCTTGATGGCTAAGGCACACATTTTTTTTCACGTTTATGGTCTTGAGGATAGGGTTCCACCCAACCCTGCCAAGACACATTCTATTAGACCAGTGAGTGCTTTTTGGGCTTTTTGGCATCGGGCAACTGTTTTACAGAGTTGTAGCTGGTGCTCTGTTCACACACATTCAGTCCTCATCTATAATGCCATCTTCAGGTGTAAAGTCCTCTTTGACCTTCAGGCAGTCCCCAGTTCTGTAGCTTGGCTTCTGTGGGCCTGTTGATGCTTTGTTACAGATGGACAGCTTTTGGATATCTCAGTTGTCTTTAAATCTAGTGTTCCTCAATGAATGAGAAATAAAAAACAGGAGCTTTGTAATTACCATTACATGATTTTAAACTGTGATATTGCTTATATTCTAGGAGAAGTCAGCTGAACCTGCTGTTGAGAATATCATGGATGAAATAGGTGAGTCAGACAAACTTTTCTACCTTTTTCACCTCTGGAAAAAAAAAAAAACTTTATCTGCTATGTAAAACCACAAGGAATTTTGATTTAGTAACATTAGAAAGAACTTTAAAAGAAACGTCATTGCTAATAGTGATGTCAAAACTCCTGATCTACATACACGCTCTGGTCCAGTGACTTAGACAGTACTAAAACCACCGAATTAGCATGACAGCCAGGCAACTTTGCATTTTATGAAGAAGAATATAGCAGTGGTAGCCTCTTTATCTTCTTAGTGTAGATTTTAATAGAAATGTGGCCCAAACATTTTTTAGGACCCATGCACACTGGGCATTTAGCCCCAGTGCATGAGGCTTCGGGACTTATGTGTGGACAGAGAACACAAGTGCATCATCCAGCCCCATTGCCAGCAGGCTGCCAAATTCTAAAAGAGGCTGACAGCTGCTGCAGCTGGATGGGGCTGGATAGTTCACCAAGCAGTACTTGCACTTAGGGCATTATGCACCCAGGGACGAATGCCTGGAACACAAGCAGTCTACTTTCCGGGCATTTGTCCCAGGGAGCTTACTGCCCTAAACATTAGTAATGCTAGGCGCACCATCCAGCCCCATCCAGTTGCAGCAGCTTTCAGCCTTTCTTAGAGTTTGACAGACTGCCGGCAGCAGGGCTGTATGGCGCACCTCTGTCCTCCATCCGCACCTAAATGCCAGAGCTTCATGCACCTGACATAACTGCCCAGTGTACATGGGGCCTTGGGAACTGGATTGAGCTGGAGAGGTGGGAGTGTCAGGTTTTTAGTGTGGTTTGTGTCTCCACTTCTGCTCAGTTTTGGCTTGAGTTCCACTTTAACCACTTGCTTCCCAAGCCTAATTTGCCATTTTTCTCCTACATGTAAAAATCATAATTTGTTTTACAATAAAATTGCCCAGAACCCCCCCAAACATTGTGTGTGTGTGTGTGTGTGTGTGTGTGTGTTAAGCAGAGGCCCCTAGAGAATAATATGGCAAGTGTTACAACTTTTTATGTTTCACAGTTTTTTTTCAAACACTATTTTTTGAGAAAAATAAATTTTAATGAATTTTAATGCAAAAAATCCCCACAATATATAACCCAATTTTTTGTAAAGTATATAAGATGATGTCACGCCGAGTAAATAGATGCCTAACATGTCATGCTTTAAAATTGCACATGCTTGCTGAATGGCGCCAAACTATGGTACTTAAAAGTCTCCATAGGCACTTTAAAAATGAAAAATGATGGAGTATTTTTAGCCATCACACATGTGGAATTATTATTAGAGGCTTTTGGTAGTATTTATAGTTATCATTCTCTTAGATTGTAAGCTCCAAGGGGCAGGGCCCTCCTAACCCTCTTGTATTGAACTGTATTGTTGCTGTATTATCTCCCGTTATATTGTAAAGCGCTGAGCAAACTGTTAGCGCTATATAAATCCTTTTATAATAATAAATAATTATTATTATTATTATACAGGATTTATATAGCGGCAACAGTTTGCTCAGCGCTTTACAATATAACGGGAGATAATACAGCAACAATACAGTTCAATACAAGAGGGTTAGGAGAGCCTGATCCTGGGAGCTTACAATCTAGGAGGGAGGGGCTAGTGGTACCAAAGGTAATAACTGTGGGGGATGGACTGGTAGGAGGAATAGAAGATTCCATTATTAGCTGAGGGCAGGATAGGCTTCCCTGAAGAGATAGGTTTTCAGAGATCACCTAAAAGTGAACAGAGTAGGTGATAGTCTGATAAATTGGGGTAGAGAGTAATTCTGTTCATGAGAAAGTGCGGGTGCTGGGTAGCTGTCTTTAGGCCAAGCCAGTGCCTTGAACATCCTAGGTGGAGAGTTGCTGACATAAATCCAATTGTATGATAAGCCTCCAAGAAATTGTATTTTTTAGTTTGGGCAGACTTACAGACTTGTATTGTTTCTTTTCCTCATACTTTGCGCTGAAAGCTGTCCCTCTGAAAGTTGGGAGTTGGGAACTGGCTACTACCATGTACATACATAATTAAATACAAAGTTATTAAAAAAAACTTGTGAGGACAGGAATGTAAAATCTGTTATTGCTTACCTAGAGAGTCACTGACCTGGGACAGGTATACAGTCTACCAAGTCTGAAGTCCCATTCTTGTTCGAAAGGTTCCAGGCTGGTGACTCACTAGGTAGAAAAAGACAGCAAGTCAGCAGTGGCAGCATTTAAAGTGGAGTTCCTGCCCCCGCCACCCCCCAAAAAAAGAAATTAAAAGTCAGCAGCTGCAAATACTGTGGATGCTGACTTTTAATAGTAGGGCACTTACCTGTCCAGGGATCCAGCATTGTCTTGATCCTGAGCCGATTCTTTAATTGGCTGTCGAGTGCTGGCACCGCCATCATGACTAAGGGAAACTGGCAGTGAAGTTGCGGCTTCACCGCTGGTTTCCTACTGCACATGCAGGAAGTGCGCTGCGCTTTGTGAATGGGCTGCAGTCCTCTAGGACCTTGTAAGTTCCCTAGAGGCTGCCATGGGGGGGGGGGGGGTGCAAAACTTCCAGCTCAGTTCACTGCGGTCAAAACCAAGTACCTGCTCCCCCCCAAAAGGTGCCAAATATGGCAACGGAGGGGGGGGGGGGGGGGAAGGCAGAAAGAAAAGCGGAGCTTCCACTTTTGGGTGGAACTCCGCTTTAAGACTCTCCAAGTTTTCCTGGTATAGAACTGATCGCTAAACACAAATGCATTTCCAAATGACACCTAGCGCATAAAGACTTCATAATGGCCAGAGCACCTGTAGTGTAGATCAGTGTTTCTCAATTTTTTTTCTGTCAAGGCACTCTTTAAAATTCTGCACAATCTTGAGGCACCCCATCCTAAAATGTAAAAACTAAACTAAAAGTTCTACATAATGCAGCAACATCCACACATGCAGGACACCCAATGTAAAAGGCGATTTTTTTTTTTTTTTTTAAATTTAAATATTTATTAAGTTTTTCATGTTAATACAAAATCCCAAAAAAGGGAAAAAATTCTCATACAAATAAACATTTATAACATTTCTATCTTTCCCTTACTAAAAACTCTTTTCCTTCCCATCCCACTACCCCCCCTTCCCTCCCCTCATCCCCCCTCCTCCCCCTCTGCAGACTCTAGCTCATTCTACTCTCTTGAGGCTTGTTACTTTTTTACTAACATCCTAGTTCATATTTTCCTATATTTCTCTTTCAGTCCTGCTCTTTCCCATTTTTCCCATCTCTTAGAATAAACTCTCATCCTATCTTCCTGCATATGGTATGATCTTTCCATTCTACCTATCTGGTTTACCCTATTGATCCAGTCTTCCTCCTTCGGTACCTCAGCCTTCCACCAATACTTAGGTATCAACCCTTTCGCCGCATTCACGAAGTACCAAATACCTGAATCTTTATATTTATTTACAGATGTCTCCACATTGTGTAGGAGGCACGTCGTTGGGTCTAATCCTATGTCAATTTCAGTTATTTCTTTAATCAATTTGACTATTATCTTCCAAAAAGTCTGGATTTTTGGACATTCCCACCATATGTGATACACCGTGCCCATTTCTCCACATCCTCTCCAGCACTTATTTGAGCTTTCCCCATTCATCTTGTGCTCTACACTCGGTGTAATGTGCCAACGTGTCATACACTTATAATTAACCTCAACCTCTCTCTCATACTAACATTATCGTGTATCAATCTAAACATCTTTCTCTGACTATCTTCATTCAAAACCCAACCCCCATATCTCTTTCCCATTTTGTGATAAAAGTTAACTTTGTGTTTGTGTCTAATTCTGTGAGTATTTTATACACTTTTTGAAATATTGTGCTTCCCATCCCTTCGTGTCTCCAACAACCTTTCAAACATATTCCACTCCTGTTTTGTTCTCAGGGGTTTCGGTAGATTTCCAATAAAACATTTCAATTGATGATATTTCCACTCATCTATTCTAACAAAAATATCTCCCTTTTTCTCTATTAAGTCTTTGAGTGATCTCAATTCCCCCTCCACCAAAAACATCTCTCAGTTGGGTATCCTCCTTTCTAAACCATCTCCCTGATATCTTATTCTTTCCCGGGGGAAAGTAATCAGTATTTGTGAGAGGCATTAATATAGAATTAAATTCCCATTTCATGTTTTTGTGTAAGTTGTCCCATACCCTAAGAACATTTAAAGTGTAGATACTTGTGCTTTCTTTGATTCCCCTGAACTGTGGTGGAACCCATATCATCTGGTTCAATCTAATGCCACTAAGATCATTTTCAATTGTTACCCAACTTTTCCCTTTATGGTTAAATGACCAGTCATATATTCTTGCTAAAACCACTGCTTTATAGTATCTCTTGACATCTGGTAGACCCAATCCCCCTCTCTCTTTAGTCCTACTCAATGTTTCATATGCTATTCTGGGTTTTTTATTCTTCCATATGTATCTTGTTAACATTTTTTTCATTATCTTAAAGAAGGCTTCTGGGATTTTAATTGGTACCATTTGAAATCTATACAGTATTTTAGGCATAATTACCATTTTGACTAGGTTTATACGTCCTATCCAGGATGGATTTCCTCCTTCTAGTCTTTTTAAATCTTCCCTGATCTCATTTATCAAAGAGATATAGTTTAATCTATATAAATGCTTAGATGAGGCCGTGAGTTTATTCCTAGGTATTTTATCTCTTTTTCTCTCCATATAAAGGGGAATTCTTTTTGTAGTTTTTCTTTTTCATTCTTTAATATATTAATATTCAGGATCTCTGTTTTCATTGGATTAAATTTTTTAAATTTGATAGTTCACCGTACTCCTTCAAAATCTTCATTATATTTGGGAGAGTTATTCGGGGGTTCCCCACATAGAACAATAAGTCGTCCGCAAAGGCTGCTACTCTATGTTCTATGGATTCTATCTGAATTCCCTTTATCGATCCACTATTTCTTATTATTGACAACAAAGGTTTCGAGTGACAATACATATAGCAGGGGGGGA